TATTTGTTTCCTAACAAGTTCATTTTTAAATTATTATTTTTTTGCAGCAAGATTTAAAATATTATTATTTTTTTGCAATAAGATTTAAAAGATCCTAGACTGTAGGAGGTTTATTTATGCATTATATTATGGCAATTACAAGTAGAAATTTCAGCTATGTATAGCTCTGTAGAATTCCGGAGTATAATTTCAAAAACTTTCTTTGTTTTCTTCATTGATAGCTGGAATTTCTACTTACAAATGCCACTATACAATGCAGAAATAAAACTACTATAGCCTAGGATCTTTAAATCTTACTGTCAACAAGAACTTTATTTGGAAATGAACTTGAACTTACAACTTAGGAAACAAATAGTAATCAAGGACAACAAAATAAATAAAACTAGTAAGACTTACTAAAATATTGCCTAGGGCTACCACCTTAGGAAATGGCACAACCCACACCCAATCACATCTGAGAGATGGCGCATTTGATCATCAGATCTTGTTTATTTCTACATTATATTGTGACAATTATAAGCAGAAACTCCAGCTATTAATAAAGAAAAAAATTCTTTTTAATTTATGAAAAGTGTAGCTGTGTAAAATTCCATAGTATAATTTCAAAAAAATTATTTTTTTCTTCATTGATAGCTGGAATTTGTACTTACAAAAGCCACTATACAATACAAAAATAAACCTATTAGAGCCTAAGATCTTTAAATCTTACTGCCAACAAGAACTTTATTTGGAAATGAACTTGAACTTAACAACTAGTAATCAAGGACAACAAAATAAATAAAACTAGTAAGACTTACTTAAATGTTGCCTGGGGCTACCACCTTAGGATATGGCACAACCCACACCCAATCACACCTGAGAGATGGTGCATTTGATCATCAAATCTTGTTGAATCCACCAATCTGAACTGAGAAGCACCTTTGGAACACCCTTACTTAAAATCTATGGGGCTGAGAGCATAGGTCACGATTTGGATTTCTTAGACCATTTTCAATCCTTAGGGCAATCCCACTAAGTGGTACCCCCTAGCCTAGTCTACAGATGGGCAATCCCCCTTCTCTTATTTGTTTGCGTAGTGTGCGTCACCCCAATGTCCTCATGGGGACGGCGTGCCACCGAGAGAGGAAAGAGGAAGCTGGAAAGAGAGAGAGAGAGAGAGAGAGAGAGAGAGAGAGAGAGGAGTAGTAGTGTTGTGAGAGTAGGTAGGGGGTAGGGGTCGTACGTACTAGTAGTACGTACGTAAGGTACGGTAGGTTACG